TCCAACCATCTCATCCTCTGCTGTCCCCTTCTCCTCCTGCCTTCAATCTTTCCCAGCATCAGGGTCTTTTCAAATGAGTCAGTTCTATACAGTCCATGGAATTCTCCAGGCCAGAATACTGGGGTGGGTAGCCTTTCCCTTCTCCAGGGGATCTTCCCAACCCAGGGATTGAACTCAGGTCTCCCGCATTGCAGGCGGATTCTTCACCAGCTGAGCCACAAGGGACAAGCTGCTTGGCCAAAAAAAAAAAGAAATTTTTTTTTTGTTTAACCCTATGTAGGCAATTTTGAAAACCTATATGAAATATATCACTTGTGAGAAATTATATAATTTATAAAATAAATCAAATAAGAAGAAAATAAAAATATGATAGTTTGTAAAGAACACCTCTATTAAAAAAAAAAATTAGTCCCAGGTTTCAAAAGGAAGTGCTACCAAGGCTTTAAGAAGTCTTAATGCTAATTCCCAATGCTTTTTGAAGCTATTTCAAGAGACTGAAAATGAAGAAAACTTCCAAGTTATTTCTATAAATAGTTATAACATTAATACCAAAACCTGATGAGAAAGGAAATTACAGAGCACTCTTACTTCTGAGTATTTATGCAAAAATACTGAGTGTTAGTTGTCAACTGCTATGAGATGAATTACCACAAATACAGCAACTTACAACAATATATAGTTATTATCTCATAGTTTCCATTGCTTAGGAGTCTGAACACAGCTTAGCTGGGTCTTCAGAGTCTCACAGGGCAACAATCAAGGTGCCAGTCAGGCTGCACTCTCATCTGGGGATCACATTCTTTTTCAAGTTCACATGGTTGTTGGTAGAATTCATTTCTTTGTGGCTATAAACTCAAGACAGTTGACATCTTCAAAGGCAGCAGGAAAGCTCTGACTTCAGAGAAAGCCCTAAACTCTCTTTTAAAACCTTTTCCTGATCAGGTAAGGCTTATTCAAAGTAATCTCCCTTTCATCAACTCAAAAGTCAACAGATTAAGGACTTAATTACATCAACAAAATCTCTTAGTCTTTGCCACGTAACATAAACATAGTCATGGGAGTGATACACTCTATTATATTTCATATATAGTATATGAAATATATGTCTACCTTCAAGAGAAAGGGATCATACAAATACTGCCTAAGTACACTAGGTAACATATATCAAAAACAAAAACTAGGAATACATTAAAGACATGTTACAATCGAGTAAGATTATTTTAAACATACAAAGATAGTTCAATATAAGGATATAATTTTCACAGATACTAAGAAAGCTTTGATAACGTTCAACAAACCATCTTTGATTTTAAAATCCTCTAAAAAATAGGGATAGATTCTTATTTATATCCCCAAAACAAATATAATGCTTAATGAGGAAACAGCAGGACCATTTTCATTGAAATTAGGAAAAGTCTGTCTACTACCAAGACTGTTATTAATATTATACAAGAGATACTACCAACACAATGGGCGAAGACTAAAAACAGTTCAGAAGTACAGAAATTGGAAAGCAGGGGGTAATATTACTCTTTGCACATGATGTGACTATACACATGGAAAATGCAAGATAATCAACTGAAAACTACTATCAATAATAATAAAATCCAGTAAAGTAGAACATAAGTAATTTTCACATATGCAAATAATAATCAGAAAATATACTGAAAGGAAAGGTCTCACTCACTACAGCAACAAAAATTAAAAATACTCAGGAATAACACTAACAGAAATGGGTAAGACCTAGCAAGCATGAGGGTGGGGTGGGGTGGGGAGTGGAGTGAAAACACTGAAGCACATAAGCACACAAAAGACTTCAGAAAATAGAACTTATTACTGAATAAGTTCAGTTTAGTCACTGAGTTGTGCCGACTCTTTGCAACCCCATGGACTGCAGCACACCAGGCTTCCCTGTTCATCACCAACTCCCAGAGCTTGCTCAAACTCATGTCCATTGAGTCAGTGATGCCATGCAACCACCTCTTTCTATGTTGTCCTCTTCTCCCCTGCCCTCAGTCTTTCTCAGCATCAGGGTCTTTTCCAATGAATCAGTTCTTCACATCAGGTGGCCGAAGTATTGGAGTTTCAGCTTCAGCCTCAGTCCTTCCAATGAATATTCAGAACTGATTTCCTTTAGGATTGACTGGTTTGATCTCCTTGCAGTCCAAGGGACTCTCAAGGGTCTTCTCCAACACCACAGTTCAAAAGCATCAATTCTTTGGCGCTCAGCTTTCTTTATGGTCCAACTTTCACATCCATACATACATGACTACTGGAAAAGCCATAGCTTTGACTATATGGACCTTGCTGGTAAAGTAATGTCTCTACTTTTTAATATGGTGTCTAGGTTTGTCATAGCTTTTCTTCCAAGGAGCAAGTGTCTTTTAATTTCATGGCTGCAATCACCATCTGCAGTGATTTTTGGAGCCCAAGAAAATAAAGTCTGTCACTGTTTTCATTGTTTCCCCAGCTATTTCCCATGAAGTGATGGGACTGGATGCCATGATCTTAGTTTTTTGAATATTGAGTTTTAAAGACAATATCAAAAAGGTTTTGATTTTCCCTTTAAAAATATCAAATGAGTTATTTAAAAAATTATTTTTAATTGAAGGATAATTGCTTTACAATATTGTGTTGGTTGCTGCCATACATCAACATGAATCAGCCATAGGCATATGTATGTCCCCTCCATCTTGAACCTCCCTCCTACCTTCCACCGCATCCCATCCCTCTAGATTGTTACAGAGCTCCTGTTTGAGTTCCCCGAGACATACAGCGAATTCCCACTGACTGTCTATTTTACGTCTGGTGGTGTGTATGTTTCCATGGTACTTTATTTGTCCTACCCTCTCCTTCCTCCCCAGCCACCATGCCTGTAAGTCTGTTGCTCACGTCTGTGTCCCCACTGCTGCCCTGTAAACAGCTTCATCAGTACTGTCTTTCTAGAGCCCACATATATGTGTTAGTACATGGTGTTTGTTTTTCTCTTTCTGACTTTACTTCACTCTATAATAGGTTCTACGTTCATCCACCTCATTAGAACTGACTCAAATGTATTCCTCTTTATGGCTGGGTAATATTCCATTTTATATATGTACTACGGCTTCTTTATCTATCTGTCAATGGACATCTAGGTTGCTTCCGTGTCCTAGCTACTGTAAATAGTGCTGCAATGAACCGTGGGGTACATGTATGTTTTTCAATTCTGGTTTCTTCAGGATATATGCCTAATAGTGGGATTTCTGGGTCATATGGTAGTTTTACTCCTAGTTTTTAAAGGAATCTCAATACTGTCTTCCATAGAGGCTGTATCAATTTACATTCCCACCAACAACGCAAGAGTGTTCCCTTTTCTCCACACCCTCCCTTCTTATGACCAATTTCATCCCCAAAGTTATGGAAAAACAAACAAGAGTAGCCAGCAAAAGATCATCTATATGATCATCTAAAACACAGAAAATACTTTAGGGTAATTTAATAAAAATGCATAAAACCTTTGCACTGAAACCTATAAAACATTTCTGGGTTGAATTGAAGACACACATTCATGGAAAAAATAGTCTATTAATGGATTGTAAGACTCATATTGTTTAAGCTATTCCCCCTAAATTGATATAGAGACTCAATGAAATCCCAATCAAAATTTCCATAACTTTATTATGGAAATTGAGAAGCTGATTCTAAAATTTATGTGGAACTGCAAAGGATATAAATATGCAAAATAACCTTAGAAGAGGAAAGTAAATTTGGAGATATTATTCTACATACCTTCAAAGCTTATAATAAAGCAAAGAAAATCAAGACAGTGTTAACACTGGCAAAAGCACAAATAGATCAATGTAACAGAGTCAAGGAATAGATCCACACATTATATGGTCAAATTATTTTTGACAAACTCATTAAATAGAGAAAGAAAAATCTTTTTTTTTTAAAATGGTCCTAGAGGGACTTCCCTGGTGGTCCACTGGTTAAGAAACCACAGTGCAATGCAAGGTACACAGTTTAGATCCCTGGTCAGGGAACTAAGATCCCACATGGCAAGGGGCAACTAAGCCTGCGCACCGCAGTGAAGATCCCATGTGCTGCAAATAAGACCCAATGCAGCCAAATAAATAAAAAAAATTTTTAAATGGCACCAGAAGTATAATTTATACACAGTGAATGCACAGATTTAAAGTGCACAGTTCCACCATTTTTAACAAATGTATGTACAAACTAATACATTCATACTCTTGTCAATTACCAGGTTGACGGCTTTAAACATATGAAAGAATGCTCAAGCTCTCTCATAATAACAGAAATTCAAGTTAAAACTACATCAAAATATTGTTTTTTCACCTATCAGAGCAGCAAAAATCTAAAAGCTTGCTAAAATGTTCTATTGATGAAGCTGTGGGAAAACAGGCCCTCTCACACATGGTTTATATGAGTGTCAACTGGCAGAGTCCTTATGGAGACTGATCTCATTTCCAAATGCATATAGCCTTTGACACAGGAATTCTACTTTGGGTGGTTTATCCCACAGACACACTTCCATGTGTACAAAACAGTATGTGCATAAAGCTATTCTTAGCAGAACTGCTTCCAATAAGCCTGAAACAACCCAAATGTAACCTTTATGGGCAGTTTGCTGTTTAGTTGTTAAGTCATATCCAATCCTTTGTGACCCCATAGACTGTAGCATGCCAGGCTCCTTTGTCCATGGGATTTCCCAGGGAAGAACACCAGAGTGGGTTGCCATTTCCTTTTCCAGGGGATCTTCCCAACCCAGGAATCAAACCCACATCTCCTGCACTGGCAGTTGGATTCTTTACTGCTGAACCACCAGGTAAGTTCACCATGAATTTGTTACTTAGCCACAAAAATTAAATTCAAAAGAACAGGTCTAAAATACTAGAAAATTACAGTATGTAATCAAAAGGCCAGGTAGTTGGAGTAAAAGAGTTCTAAGATTTTTATACTATTCAGGAAGACTTATCTAAGTACCACTCATTGCTTACCTGTACCTTCTACCTGATTTCATGGATAACTCTGTGCCATTGGCTTAGTCCTGTAACACAAAGAAAATGCTTTTCTTAAAAAAAAAAATTTGAGATATAATTGACATATAACATTAGTTTCAGGTGCACAATTGGTTCATTATCTGTATACACTGCAAAATGATCACCAAATAAGTCCAATTAATATTCATTACCATACATAGTTACAAAATTTTTTTTCTTGTGGTGAGAACTTTAAAAAAAAATATTTATTTGGTTGTACTGGGTCGTAGTTGCAGCATGCGGGATCTTTAGTTGCAGCATTCGACTCTTAGGACTCCTAGTCACAGCGTGTGGGAGGGATCCAGTTCCCTGACCAGAAATTGGGCCTGGGCCCCCTGCATTGGGAATGTGGAGTCTTAGGCACAGGACCACCAAGGAAGTCCTGTGGTGGGAAGTTCTCTCTTAGCATACAATACAGTATTATTAACTACACCACATGTTGGACATTACAGTCCCAGGACTTACTTGTAACTGGAAGTTTGTACCTTTTGACTCCCTTAACTCATTTTGTCTACCGTAAACCCCATCTCTGGCANTAGCTGTCCATTCATTACCTGATCACTAAACTAACCAAGGCCAGGAGACTTACCAATTCAAAGCATGTAAGGGAATAGCTGTCCATTCATTACCTGATCACTAAACTAACCAGGCAGAGACTGTACCTGGCCAGGCATGACAATGTGTACAGAGTTACAGAATTAGTTCAGGAAAGTCACTAAAACAAATAGCAGCAACAACAACAACAAACAGCAACACCAATAAACCCTGGGGAGAGCGGGGAATGTGATATCCAGAGTTGCCACATTATATTATTGAAATGCCTAGTTTTCAAAAAACGCATGAGATTCGCAAAGAAATGGGACAATCTGACATACACGAGATGGTGTGTGGGGGGGAAGCAATTAATAGAAACTGTCTGGCAGAAAGCCTAGATGGATAGACTTCCCTAGACAAAGAATTTAAATCAGCTTTTATAAATTTGTTTAAAGAACTAAAGGAAATCACGTTTAAAGAACTAAAGGAAAGTGTAAGCATGTCTCACCAGATAAAGACTATCAGCAAAGAGATAGAATTATAAAAAAAGAACCAACATAAATATAAATCCCCAAATAAAAAAAGAACTTCAGAGGACTTCTCTGGTGGTCCATTGGTTAGGACTCAGCACTTTCATTTCTGCGGTCCAGGCTCAATCCCTGGTCGGGAACTGGGATTCCACAAGCCATGTGGTGTGGCCAAAAAAGAAAAAGAACTTAGTACAACAACTGAAATGAAAAGTTTTACTAAAGGAGCATGACTGTAGGTTCAAGCTGGCAGAATGAAGAACCAGAAAACTTGAACATGTGTCAATTGAGATTCTCCAGTCTAAGGAAAAGAAAGAGAAAAAAAAGTAATAAAGAAAAATGAACAGAGCTTCAGACACCTGTAAAACACCATTAAGTGTACCAATGTGTGCATAATGGAGGTCCCAAAAGGAAAGAAAACAACAACAACAACAAAATTGGGGGTAAATAATGGCCTAAAATGTCCCCAAATGCGTGAAACTCAAGAAGCTCAACACATCCTAAGTAAGATAAACCCAAACAGATCCATATCTAGATACATCACAATCAAACTGTCATAAACCAAGGACAAAGAGAATCTTGAAAGCAGCAAGACAGATATCATTCATCACATATAAGGAATCCTCACTAATATTAACAGCTGAATTCTCATCAATCAATGTCAATATTCTGATTGTGATAATTCCTATAGTTTTGCAAGATGCTACTATTGGAGGAAACTGGATAAAATGTACATGGAATCTCTCTATTATTTCTTATAACTGCTTGTGAATCTACAGTTATCACAAAATCATAAATTTAGCGCACACACACACACTTCAAACACTTGGATCCAAGATAAAATCATAATAGAAGCATAAAGATATTTAGAATTGAGCAATAATAAAAATACTGTATATCAAGACTTGAGAAACAAACAACAGTGGTAATTCAAGCTAAACTTATCATCTTGAATGCTTATATTAAAAATGAAAAAAGTCTGAAAATTAAAAAAAAAAACTAGGCACCTAACTTGTTAGAAAAATAACAGAATAAAGAGAAAGGAAGCAGATTAAAATGATTACAGCAACAATCAGAAAAAATAAACTAGAGATGATCAACAAGGCCAGGAGCTAGCGATCTGGGGGGAGAAAACTAATAAAATTGATGGAGACTTGCGGTAAAAGGGATAGGAAAGAAGAGAAGAAAAAATACTCGTAATGCAAAGGGGAACATAACTATAGGTGCAGCAGAGATTTAAAAGAAAACATTTTGCAAAACTTATATGAACAAAATTCTAGAAAAATATTCCAACTTTCCAAGAAACAGTTCATTTCATTACAAACTCTTTCAGTAAATTGAAAAAGAGGAAATATTTCCAACTCATTCTATGAGATTAATAAAACTTAATTCCCAAAACTATCAAATTATAGTCAATCTCACTTGTGACCCTAGATACAAATACATTGATTAAAACGTTAGCAAACCAGATCAGTGATGTATAAAAGAGATAATAAATCATGACAAAGCCAGGTTAATTCCAGAGATACAAGATTGGTTTAATATTAGAGAACCAATTCTTCACATTAAGAGTAAAGGAGAAAACCAATTATCATGTTAATAGATGCAGAAGAAGTATTTGATAAAATTTAACACTCATCATGATAAAACAACTTTTAGCAAAGTGAGAATAGAAATGATCTTTCTGAATCTGTTAGAGTATATCACATAACACTGAAAGCAAACATCATTCTTAGTAGGGAAATGTCAGAAACATTTCCTTAAAACTGGAGTAACAAGGCAGGGATGTCTACTGCCTCTTACATTGTGCTGAAGGTCAGTAAGACAGAGAGGGGTGTGGGGGTTGGGGGGAGATAGGGTAGGAAGGAGGGAAGGAGGGGAAGAAGGGATGAAAGAAAGGAAGAAAGGGGGAGGAAGGTAGGTCAGACCTAATGTTTGAGAAGGGAAGACCAAAACTACCACTTAGAGATAATATCATTATCTATAGAGAAAACCCTTAAGAACCAACCACATTATTAGAAATAATAAGAAAGTTTATCAAGGTGGCCAAATGTAAGATGGACAGGCAACAATAAACTGTATTCCCAAAACCAGTAACTTAACGGGAAAAAAATTAAGATATTATTTATATATAAGCAGTGGTGGCAATGACGTTCTAGCTTGCTCCTCCAGTCTCCTTTCAATTCTGAGAGCCCTTGCTTCAACCCTTCCAATAAATGCTATTTTTTCCCCTGAGACAGCTAGAATTGGGTTTTATTGCTTGCAAGCATACATCTTGCAATTACACTAATATTTTAATGGGTATTTGGAGTAAAAAAAATAAAATGTGTGTTGGGGTCCTCAAGACCACCTCCAAATTCAATGATTCGCTAGGAGGAATCAGGATTCAACATGCAGCTGTATGTGTGGTTATGATTTATTTCAGAGAAAAGATACAGAACAAAATCAGTAAAATCAGCAAAGAAAAAAGGCACATGGGGCGTAGTCTGGAGGAAACCAAGACCAAGCTTCCAAGAGTTCTCTCTCACACAGGATGCACTTAATTCCCTCAACAATGAGTTGTAACAATACATACCAAAAGTTGTTTACCAGGGAAGCTCATTAGAGACTGAACAGAGATTTTATGGGGGTTGGTCACAAAGATACCCTCTGCCTGGTGACATGTACTCCAGAAGGAAAGCAGATGGATGCGGTAAACTTTACTGTCTGCACAAATAGTTTGGGCACAGTGAACCACTCTTATCAGTGAGGGCGGCGAGAACCTTCCTGAAATCCAGGAAGCTCCCAGATGCCACCCATGTAAGCAGGCATTTCAAAGGACAGCAGTCAGGTCTGCTATGTTCATTCTGGGTTGGCCAAAGAGGTCGTTTGGGTTTTCTGGTCACGGCTTATAGAGGAACCCAAACAAACTTTCTGGCCAACCCAATAACTTTTCTGCATAACGCATACTCTTTCTGACACATTGAATTAGAAAGCTAATTTATTATAGCCACTCTTCAATCCATCCACTTACTTTTGAAGTAATATCACTTAAGTATATTTCATATTAACTTTTATGAACTTACAAGTTTTTTAAGAGTCAAATAATACTAAGGCTTAAAAATAAAACCAGGACTTCCCTGGTGGTACCGTGGATAAGAAGCCACCTGTCAATGCAGGGGACACTGGTTTGATCCCAGGTCCAGGAAGACTCTACAAGCTGTGGAGCAACTAAAGCCCATGCATCATAACTACTCTGGGGCCCATGCTCTAGAACCTTCGAGCCACAACTATTGAGCCCACATGCCACAACTACTGAAGGCGGTGTGCCCAGAGCCTGTGCTCCACGAGAAGAGAAGCCTCCACTCGCCACAACTGGAGCAAGGCCATGTGCAGCAATAAAGACCCAAGGCAATCAAAAATAAATAAATAAGTTAATTAAAAATAAAACCAGAGATCGCTACTCCAGCCCAACTCCTCTCCCAATCCACAACCAACAATTTCAAACTCCTTAGTAGTTTCTTCCAGTATTTAACTTCCATTTCTAAATAACACACATTTACTATCAGTTCTTGAGTTTTCAACTTTATAATTATACTTCAGGGAGGGAGGTGGGAGGGGGGATCAGGATGGGGAACACATGTAAATCCATGGCTGATTCATGTCAATGTATGGCAAAAACCACTACAATATTGTAATTAGCCTCCAACTAATAAAAATAAATGAAAAAAATATATAATTATACTTCAACTACAGATAATGAAGCCTTAACTTATATCTCCTACTGCTCACCAAAGTTTTATCATAATTTTTAGTTAAATCTCTATTGTTTTTCATTAACATGATTATATAAATGCTTGCAAATGAACCATATAGGCACAATTGAAATTATATCTTTTTCACATGGGTTGTCTTTTCTAGAATTAATAATTGCCTATTTTAAAATTTAAATTTTCTTTATTATTGTT